GATATATGTGCACCTATGTTTATAGCGGCACAGTTTGTAATAGCTAAAGTTTGGAAACCGCCCAAGTGCCCACCGGCTGGAAACTGGATAAAGAAGATGTGGGTTTTTTTGATAAAGTGGAGTACTACTCAGCCATAAAGAATGAGAAACTAGAGTCATTTATAGCTAAATGGATGCATGTTGAGGCCATATTCTTAACTGAAATAAATAGGACACACGTGTGTAAATACCCAATAGTTTCTCTAGTGCGGGGGGAAAATGAAAGTGTAAATAAGAATGAAAATGATTAAAACGAATAATTGATAATTTGAAATAGGAAAAGGTCCAAAGGGGTAGGGGTGGCGGGAGGGGAAGGGGAACGGGAAGAAGGGAAAGGAAAAATTCTGAGAAAAAAAAAAATGGAAACAAAGTCTATGTAAATAGGGAAGGGTGGTGGGGGTGATGGGCGCATAGGTAATGGGGGTAAAAATAAGAACTAAGATACCTCATGTTCAGGTACAAACAACCAATGATAAATGTAAATGTATACCTAAAATGTACCAATTAATATATAAATAAATTTTAAAAATTTACAAAGAAGGGCCAGGGATTTAGCTCAGTGGTTTCCCTGCTTGCTGCACAAGCACAAGGACCCGTGTTTGATCCCCGGTACCAAAAACAAACAAACAAACAAACAAATTTCCAAAGAAAAAGAACTCTGTCCGTGATCACAGGAATATTAAGAACTTAAAACATCCCCAAATCTAGAAGTTGTATAGTCTAGGAGTTAAAAGTATGAGTACATGAATCCAAGTTGTCTGGATTTTAATTTGAATCTCTACTTACTAGCTCTGTAACGTTTCCACTAATAACTTACTGGATTGTTGTAAAAGATTAAGCAACTTTTTGAACACAAAAGTTCAAGAATATTACTAACACTGAAACTAAACTGTTAAGCCAGATAAGGTGCTGCACACCTGTAATCCCAGCACTGGGGAGGCTGAGGCAGGAAGATCACCATGAGTTGGAGTCCAACCCCAGGCTACATGGTGAGCCCCTGCCTCAAAAAGACAAAGGAAAGGGCCGGGGATTCAGCTCACTGGTGCCAAGCCTGCCTCGAAAGTACAAGATCCTGTGTTTGATCCCCGGACCGAAGCGGGGGGGGGGGGGGGGGGACACGACACTAAACTGTTGAAGCTGGGTGTGGTGGTGCCCGCCTGTAATCCTAGCACTGTGGAAGGCTGAGGAAGTAGAAGCAATACTAGAAGTCCCTGAGGGGGTTTCAGAAGACCCTCCCTCAATAAAAAAATTAAAGGGCTAAGGATACCCCTCAGTGACACACTGGGTTTAATCCAGTATCACAATAAACAAAGAAACTAAACTGTTGAAACAGGAAACCCTGCAGCTAATCATTAGTTTTTCAATTCTCTTGCCAAGGATTTGTAGTTTTGTTTCACAGATCACATACCTGTGACCCCAGTACTGGTAAGGCTGAGACCAGAGAATCAACGTAAATTCGAGGGTAGGCAGGGCTACAGTGAGTTCAAGGCCAACCTGAACTACATAAGGAGACAGTGTCAAAATAAAAAATGCCAAAACACGTTCCTAAGTACAATTCTCTTAACTAAGGACTTATAGCTTCCTGTCTGAATTTTTTAACAAAGCCAAAACACGTTCTCAAATCCCCAAGCATTCAAAAAGAGGGAAAAAGAAGACTAACCAGCTAGTACTAGGTCACAAATTAAAGCATACCTGAAAACAAGGTCTACCTGTGACAAAGACCACGAAGGGGAAAAATCCCTCTCACCTAGTCATTTGATTCTCTCCTTATCCCTACAGAAGGACTTCGATTGTGCTTTCAAAAACAAAGGTTAAGCCAAGATTTGAATGACGCTACAAGAAAGAACTAGGAATTCAACTCTAAACAGCAACAAGACTTCTCTGGAGTCACCATCTTGTCCTTTGCCTCTAGTACCCAAGAACATGGTAAGGTCAAACTCTTCTCAGGTGGGTAAGAGGGAAAACAGCGACCTTCCTTTACCTGGTAACCCCCACCCCCACCCGCCTGCTGGCAGCACGGCGCAGGCGCAGAGTAGCTACTCTCTTTTGGGGCTCGGGCGTCCGGAGAGGGAGCCCCAAGCTTCAGCCTTTGGTCACCAAACAGGAGAAGACCGAAGAGAAGAAACAATAGGGCCGTGGCCGCCGCCATACCTCTCCTGATCGCGGCCGTCGAAGTAGACGAAATCGCCGCTCTGGATGCACTTTGCGCAAGTCAGCCGCCGGCGGGTGGTATTGCACAACGGACACCTCTCGACCGCCACGTATAGCCCCTCTGCATCGTCCACGGAGTCCACCAGGTCCCGCGCCAGTGGCACGGCCCCACAGCCGGGAGCGTCAGGCGCCAGCTCTGCCTTCCCACTGGGAGACGCCATGATGGTCTGAGCTCAGAGCCAGTCACGTGGGATTTTGTTTTCAACCAGGTGCATCCTGGGCGGCGGGGCGGGACCGGGGGCGGGACTTCCCTGCGGCCTTTAGCAAGCAAAGCAAATTCCCCTGTAGTCTGCGGAGCTGCGTGGGGGACCACTCGGGTTTACGCTAGGATTAGCAATACTAAACTGAAGGGTTCTGGGCGAACGGAATGGAAAAAAGTGAGTTTAATTCCCTAAAGATTCTTTCAGTTTTGGATAAAGCTACACGACACAAAGCTGAGTCCTGGAGCCGGCTGCCGGGAGCCGATTCCATCAGCTGTGCCGTTGTCCGGTCAGTTAGAAGGCGTTACTGCAGTACCACTCCGGGAGGATAGGTAAGTGTTCAACCAGCGAACTTTTTTCCAGTAATAACCAGTGAAGACAACCTGAACCGAAGTTCTATTATTTTTGCAAACCGAGTCTTAATAAACCGGCCAGCTCCTCTCCCGCCCCTGGGCCTTGCTCGGAGTCTGGAGGAGGAGGAGAATGGAAGAGGACAATAGGGCTTCCCCTTCAGTTTCCAGGAGGTGGGACTGGGTGAGGAGCAGCGTCTGAATGTGCTCTGAACTATAGAGGGGAAATGAGCATGAGTTTGTGCTTCAAAAAGTGTACACCGATCCTCAAGGACTTTCTACAGCAGCTGACCCCTCCAGCTGGGACTCCTCACGCTCGGTCCACACTCAAAGTCGCAGGTCTGCCTCCTGACGTAGGAGCCAGGTGTTGCTGTGAATGCTCCTTGGAGGGACACATCACTGTCTCCATAGGGGCTAGGAGACCCTGGAGTTCTGTGAGACTCCCTCCGTGAAACTTCACGTCCCGTTGTAAGACGCTGGTGATTACACAACCAGTGCCTCTGCTCCTCCATCCTCTGGGTCTTACCAGGTTTGTTTGTGATTAAATAGACTGTAAAACCAAGCAAAAACCAAAACTTCGCTATGCAAAATAAATTACCCGACCTGAACGGTTGCTGAAAGTTTAAGATTTTCAAGTGAGAAATAATTTCAAGGATCAGTGGACCTCCCATAGGATCCCACGGTGTGTGCTGCCTAAAAGGATAATTTCTTGGATCTTTTATTATTTTCTGGTCCTGGGGATTGAGCGCAGGGTCTTCGCATTGAGCTACATCCATAGTCTTTTTTTTTTTTTTTTTAACTTTTATTTTGAGACTGCGTCACCCAGGCTGGGTGGAACCCTCTGGCCTCAGCCTCCCAGAGTGCTGGTATCACATGTATGCGCCACCATGCCCAGCTACTTCAATATTTTAAAAGGCAAGACACATTAATTTATATTCCACTTACAGGATATTATATATAGTTTCTAGTTTATGTAGTTATTTGAAATTTCTATATATTGCTGTGTATTTTCAGCAAACACAAGTTAATGTTATTTAACAAAAGCAGAGCATTCATTTTAATGCTATCATATTCTAACAAGGCCCAAAATCTCTCATTCTGAATTTTTCAATTTTTAAAACATACAAGCATTATGAGTAAGAAATTGTTTTCATTTCTTAAACAGTTACATAGAATCACCATGTAATATGTCAAAATGTATTTATATTTGGACGTCTACATGGACGTCTACAATTAAAGGGAAAAGAATCCAGCTGTTTTTGTGCTGAACTTAATCACACATTCAAAACAGCATAATGTTGAATGATATACTCAAGCTTTTTTAAAACCTTTTAGAATAGGATAGATGTTTTCAAATGCTTCATAGATCTCAGAACGTTCTTTGGCACCTGTAAAGAAATCCAAGTTTACATAATCTTTAATATAAAAATATCAAAACAGCAACAAAATTTTCTTAACACTAAAATTTCATTGTGTTATCTCCAGATACTTTTTTTTTTTTTTTTTTGACAGTGTTAGGATCAAACACAAGGCCTCACACATGCTGATACTTTCAAGTGCTCTACCACTGGGCTAATACCTCCAGCCTTCTCCAATCACTTTTAATATGATGACATCACTTTAGCCATATGGCTACTATAGCCATTTTTCCACAAAACAGACCCAGAGTTTTTCAATATTCACTCTGGGTATTGTCTTTAGCCACAGAGTGCTCATATTTTTTGTTTGTTTGTTTCATTTTTTGAGACAGGGTCCTGCTGTGTAGTCCAGGCTGGCCTGTAACTCACAGCAATCCTGCTTCAGCCTCCTAAGTGCTGGGATCACAGGCATACACCACCATGCCCGGCACAGTTCTCATATGAACTTAGTGATGTTATCACTAAGTGTGTCAGGAACATAACCCCACAGTGACTTTAGCACCTGTGGGCTCCAGCAAAAGGACTCTGTGATTCATTCATCTCTAGTTAACATCTTGATTCCCTAATACTAACAGATTTAGACAACATGTGACTCTTCTAGAGCTTTAAATTTTAGCATATGAGAAGGGATTAGAGGTGGGGGGAAAGCTGTACCCTAAAAAGCTGTAACCCTAGAGCCTTGGGTTCCAAGGGATTTTCAGCATACTTGTCTAGGAGTTGCAGGGATGGAAACACAAGACAGCCTCTGCCCCTGAGAAATGCCGTCAGTCTCCCTGATCTCTCACCACCAACCATCAACACTACTCTGCTTCAGAGGTGTGTAGGCAGGTTGTGCTGAGCAGTGCGGACTGCCAAGCTGTCCCCAGTCAGAAATGATTATCCGGCATTTTAGGGGCAGGAAGCAAAGAAGGAAGGAGGTTAATGAGAGGACTGTGAAAACTGTTAGTGTGGGAAATAGCTAAGGTTGATTAAGATTTTTTCCTTAAACCAGGTATAGTGATGCACGCCTGTAATCCCAGCACTCTAGGAGCCTGAGGCAGGAAGATCCCAAATTCAAACCCAACCCACACAACCCGGGGATTTAGTAAGGCCCTGTCTCAAAATTTAAACAGGGCTGTTGATGTAGCTCAGTGCAAAGATCCTGGGTTTAATCCCCAGTACCTCAACAAAGAACAGAACTACAAAATTGAATAATCTGAGAAGTGGTTATCTGGCTATCTGATTTAATCCCAACAGAATGGAGGAGGGAAGAAAATACCAAGAGGCAGATCAGATCAAGAGATTTGTGAGAAGCAGACAGAAATCAGAATTCAGAATCAAGGATGAGCTATTAATTATATACTTTTATTTTTTAAAAAGTGATAGCAAGATTGTGCACAATGCTGGTGAAGATGTAAAATGGAAAAGAATTAGGTGGCTCTTCAAGAAATCAGTTTCCACGTGATTGGCCCTTCTGCTCCTGCTTAGACTCCAGCTGAAGACGGTACCCACAGGAGTACAGGGGACCCTCAGGTTATGACCAGCCTGACATGAACAACTTGAGTTAATTAGGTTAATGGAAGATTCATCTGCCTCTTGTTATCTATAGCAAGTACCCAGGTAAACATCCAGATCTCAACTGTATTGACTTAAAACCAACCTGAGTTACAATCAGCCCTCAGGAACCGATCAAGTTCATAAATCAAGGGTCCACTGAAACTTAAACTTTCATTGCAGCTCTATTGGTAGTAACCAGAGAATAGAAAAGGCCCAAGTGCCCCACGCAATGCAAATGGATAAAAATGTGTAGTATATTCCTGCAATACTAGCCATAAAAAGGAATGGAATACAGACACATGCTACAACAGGGATGAACCTCAAAAACATGCTGAATAAAAAAAGTCAGAGACAAGAGACATGATTCCATTTATACAATATAATATATAATATTTATATAGGTAAATAGAGAAAATCAAGATTGCTATTTCCAGGGGCCTCGGGTAAGAGGGAAATATGGAGGAGCTGTTTGATGAGGGCCTGTATTTTTGTTGTTATTATTCCTTTGCTACTGAGTACTGAACTCAGGGTCTCTCACTGAAGTTATGTCCCCAGCCAGTTTTTAATTCTTATTTTAGACAAGGTCTCCCCTAAGTCACTATGTTGCCTGGGCTGCTGCTGAACTTGCAATTCTCCTGCCTCAGCCTGCCAGAGTGCTGGGATTATAAACATGTGCCACCACATCCAGCTGATGCTGGGTTTTATTTTAGAGCATGGGAAAATGTTTTAAATAGAGGTGGAGGTATATTTATAATGCACACAATGTACCAAATGCCATGGAACTGTTCACTTCAAAGTGATTAAATTTATGTAATGTGAATTCCACCTCAAATTTTAAATTATACACCTGTGGTGCCATATGCTTGTAATCCCAGCACTCAGGAGGCTGAGGTAGGAGGATTGCTGAGTTTGAGGACAGACTGGGCTACATAGTGACTTCAAGGCCAACCTGAACTACATAGGAAGATCCTATCTCAAAAAACAAACAAACAAAAAAGCTTCAAAGATTGAAGAGGAAGTCCTTATAAATTTACTTTCTTTTTTTGAGAGACAAGGGCAAAAATTACTCATCGCCAAAGAGTTTATTATTTGTGGTTCTCCACTGAAGGATGTAAAGTGAGGAAGAGGGTGAGATGTAGACACATGAGAAAGTCTGTACCTTTAGGGTAGGAAAAAACCCTTTTAAGTCTCAGGAGATTTTAGTCACTGCGCTAAAGTTTCAGTTTCTAAAGAGACTGGTTTTTTAGAAAACAGTGTGAGCAGGGAGTTGGAGAAGCAATAAATAAAGGAATGGGGAGGGGGAGGGGAGGGAAAGGAGAAGTAAAAGAGATCAAGAGCATATATATAATGATATATAATATATAGTTAGTTATATATATATACACACACACACTATAGATACACCAATTCCCTCCACAAATGCAATTATGTATTGCAAACATACTAATAATGTGCTCATTTCGGCAACACATACACTAAAACATATACTAATAAAAATAAAGATTCTAATAAAAGAAATTTTTTAAATTTAAAAAAAACTTATCAAAGAACTCCTTGCTCTAGCTTTAGGGACATTTTTGCCTTCTGGGTGTGTCCTCTGCAACCACCTTCTTGTTGAGAGAGTAAGCATAACACACACAAGCACCCAGCTCCCAAAACCCAGACCAGGGCTCTCTGCATTTGCT